ATTACTACAAAGGCCGAAAAAACAGTGAGACCACATGAGTAAATGTAGATAGCATTTTTTAATGAGTTAGAAACAGCATTATGTGAGGTTTTGCTTGTAACTATTCAAAGCAGTGTTTGGGGGGAATTCTTGTTTAGCATTTATATATGGGGAACTAGTACTATGAAGAACCTTCCCTCTCCAAATTCAAATACTAACTTGGGTAAAGCGGGGAAGGGGAAGGGAAAGGGAAAGGGGAAGGGGAAGGGGAAGGGGAAGGGAAGGGAAGGGAAGGGAAGGAAAGGAAAGGAAAGGAAAGGAAAGGAAAGGAAAGGAAAGGAAAGGAAAGGAAAGGAAAGGAAAGGAAAGGAAAGGAAAGGAAAAGGAAAGGAAAGGAAAGGAAAGGAAAGGAAAGGAAAGGAAAGGAAAGGAAAGGAAAGGAAAGGAAAGGAAAGGAAAGGAAAGGAAAGGAACTATGAATCAGTTTTAAATAGATTTTGTTTTAATACCTCATGGTATTGCTAAGTACATGAAGATGTGGTGGTTTGCCTGAGTATGATGACAGGTTTTTTGTCATTTTTTTTCTGTCTACTTTTGGAAATATACCAGCAACCTCGAATGGCAACACACAATGGGGAGGGCTGACTGTTCTGAGAAAGGAAACCACCTAGTTTTACATGGATATAAAGAGGTCTCATCATTCATGAAGGCTATTTAATGTAGAGAGTAGAACTTTCTGTTTTGGGAGTGTGGGAAGACTTGATGTGTTTCTGGGTCTTCAAATGAAGGCTACACATAAACGTACACACACATGGAGGTGAATGAAAGTAACAATGAATGAGAGAAAAGCACAAAGCAGGTGAGCAGGTGCTCTCTAGTGTTAAAAGCGGTGATCAAACAGATGATGGCAATTACAAGAAGGGGAAAGGCAGACTGACTTCAAAATTACCGAAAACAATTTTAACCCTGGTACAAGTAAGAGGAAGAGCCGGTAGAACTCCATTTATACACATCTACTCCGGGTGAAGCACTCCCAGGAGCCTGCCTACCCAAAAAGTGCCCAAACCTACTTGTTGACTATTCCTCTGCCAAAGAATCCATTTTAACGTGAGCCCTTAAAATAAAGCAACCCGTCAGCTAAATCGTCCTACTTTTCCTTTACTCTGTCCATCACCCACTTCGCAAGTGCACCAGGCGCTGAAGCCTTCCCGAGGCGCTCTGGCCCAGAAACGCAGAAGCAAAGACGTGACACTACCTGTCTGCCTCCCGCGGGGCTGGGGATGGAGAATGGGCGATTGGGAACGCTTCTTCCACGGGCAGCGGGGGGGAAAGGGAGGGCGGGGAGGCCGAGCCAGCCCTTTACACACCCCCCCGCCGGCCCTTCCCGCAGCTTCGGAGGCCAGCCCGCCTTCATACCTGCCCTCCCTCCTGCCAGTGGAGCGGGGTCGCCCAGCTTAGCCTGCCACGGGCTGTTCCGTGCCGCTCGCACCGAAGCCGATCCGAGGCGCTGCAGGAAGCGGCCGCGGGTCCGCGCAGGCGGAGCCGCCCCGGACGCTCCGCAGGGAGCGGCGGCCGCTCCGAGCCCCTCGAAGCGCGCGGTGGGACCTCCGCACCTCTGCCCCCCACCGCCTGGATTACTCGGCGGATGGTTCAAAAACTAGATGGTGTGATATTTTGGGTTTGAGGGGTTTTGGTGGGGTTTCTTTTCCCCCCTTGAGAAGGATGACCTATGCCACCTGTGGATCGTACACTTGTTTTCTCCCTGAGAAACACTGTCTGCCTTTCAACTGAAAATAGCATCCTCCAGGAGAGCTTTGGAGTTCTTTTATCTTATACTTACGGATACATATTTGCTTATATTACCCTAGGCAGAAAATTACTAACAATCTTAATAACAGTGTGACATAAGGGAAGCAACTTTTCTAATCCTCAGATCTGCTTTTTAGAGATCCGCTTTAGTTTTATTTACATTTTAAAACATTTCCCCCAACAACGTCTCAAAAGGAGAAAGGTAAATCCTGTTAAAGACTCGGCCCATTATTACTGCAAATTGTCGAAGCCACGGCAGCCCTGGAGAATTTTTTTTTTCAATAAGAAGCGGCAAACGGGGTATGTGTCATATGTGTCTATTTGTGTGCTTTTGCGTGTTATGAAGAGTCGTCTAAATTCTCGGCTCTCCCCTGGGTAGACCCTTCTTGCAATGCATTTTAAAAATAAAATACACTATAGGCTCTTACTGAACTGAAAAGAAAAAAAAATAGGAAGAAATAAAATTGGGATAAGGGGGAAAGAAGCGACTATAACTCACGCGAACAGTCCACCTTTTAGTGCAGGTATTATGGGAGACCGTTAGATAACATTGTTAATAAAAGTAACGACTGAAATATTAAAAGAAACCTCAGGGAAGGAGCTTCCATAAACAATCCGCGGCAAGTGCTCGGGAGCACTGGAGAATTCATTGCCACAGCGCCCCCTCCCACACGCGGCTTGAACTAACGATCTTATCCCGAAGATGGGCAAAGAAAACTTCTTTCTTTTCCTTTCTCATTTGCTGTTTTCACCGCTCTTCACTTTAATCCCCTGAGCAGCTCCCAGGCAGAACGGCTCGTCCAGCTCACCCCGTCTCACCCCGTTCTCACAGGTCGCTTCCGCAAAACACCTCGCTCAGAAAGAGTCTTATAAACTGGGTTTCTTCTACTAGAAAACCGGACAACTCCGCTTGCACAGTACGCGTGTGTCATTTGTTATTTTTAAATACAATGGTCTATTATTTAACGTCGTTGTCTCCGGGAGATGGTGGCGGTCCCCCATTTCATGAGCGAAAGGAGAAAACATTCCCAGACCATTGTGTGGTTATGTCACAGGAAACTGTTTCAGCTGCGCATTGTGTTACATCTCCAAACCCCACCAAGTTCCACTTTGCTCTGCTTGAAAAGTTGCTGTGACCGGTGTCACGACAATTGGGCAATTGGCATTGTGCGGGTGACAGGCGTGTGCGCCTCTCCGGGCCGCAGGGAGCCCTCCTGGAGAGGGAAACCTCTCCTTCACCCCAGTGAGGCTTGTATTTTAATTTTATTCGTCGTCTTCTTCTTCTTCTTTTACTTGTGTAAGACCGACGGGAGCGTGGTCCGGAGTGAATGGCCTCCGGGCAGGCGCCCGAGTGCCAGGCAGAGGAAGCAGGAGTCCTATCCCCACAGACGGGGCTTGCAACTTCACCCGCCCGAAAACTTCAGTCTCTGTCACCAGTGCAAGCAGATGTAGCTGATAAATGACAAAACGCAAAACCTTGTCTCCCAGGACAGCAATGAGCGATAGCAGGGCGAGGGGGTTTCTCTATACTACCTTCTTAGCTCTGCTGGAGCAAACTGAATTAAAGAAGGCAAGGCGACATCGCCGGTTAAAATCTGGGAAAGGTAAACTCTGAACTAATGAATAGATTATTAAAATAAAAAAACACAGTGTGTAAAGTCTTAATGTCTCTGGGTAAGCATGTTAATTTGCCACAGTTACTACCAATAAAAAATGCATGTAATACTATTCTGGTGTTTAACAGTGCAAGTTAGACGGCTTTGTATTAGTAACGGGTAGTACTATGGGAAAATTAGATTTCGGCAGTGGAGCCAGGCAAATGAAAAACCTCTTCCCTGCGAAAGGCATTCAAATCAAACAGAGATAACTCCGAGAAGAAGTTGAATAAAGACACGTACACTGATCACTGTGTAGAAACGTTATTGACACGGTTTTCTGGTTTGTGTGTCACAAAGCCTTCGCCAGCTATATTTAAATGACCCCAGTAGCTATTCCTTCTCCACATTGTGCAGAGTCAAATTAGTCGTGTACTCGTAATAAAATGCATACCGGCTCCTTGCAGTGGCTAAATCCATTCCTTTCTGAATCCATATAAAAATTATGCAAATCAAATCAACGCAAAAATTTGTCTTTGAAATGATAATGTTTTACTCCATTAATCTCTGATTGCGAAATTAACCCTGTTTCTGTATATAAAACAATATTTTTGGACTGCATAAATTAAAACATCGGAAATATAATCTGTTGCTCTATGTGACTGGAGGAAGGGGAGTAATGTCCCTGATTTAAACGTTCCTTACACCAAAATCACAAAAATATTTTCCCATAGACGAAAGGCGTGCAGATGGAGGCAAAACCACCACCTACATTTTACACGGACGGCCACGTACACTTAACGTGTATAACATATGTCTATGCGTGTAGATATGTATGGAGATTTGTATCTCTCGTGTGTGCGTGTGTGTCTGTGCGTATCTACACACACTCTGAACTGAATTACATCAGTTCTCCTGGGATCACGGTATTTATTTAAGTGCTCTTCCCAGGTCATAACTGTAACACTCACTTAATAGCATTAATCCCCTGTTATAATGTAAACACAACGGTCATTGTATTCCCAATCTGTATTGTTCCACTAATTATTAAAGAGGAGGAACTAAAAGCAATCAATTCACGAAGATAAACACCGCTTCTGCTGGAAAAAAAGACAGCTTCCCAAATAAAAATGCAGGGAGTATAGCACATTTTGCAAGGCGTGCAGGTTGGCTTAGAGAGATTCATGTATGACTTTATAATGTTATAATTAATTTTGCATTCTCGGCTCTCCAGCTGCTGCTCCGTTCAGAAGCAGAGCTCATATACTTAGAAATCGGTCTGCGGAACACAGGAATTGACTATTCAGATGTAGTCGCATGATATCGATTATTCCATAGAAATACTGAAATATGAATGTGTTTTATATAAAGCCCTTGTTTTTAGAGTTTCTATTTTTATTTAATATATGCGCATTAATCACTAAGCAGGGAAGCAAATGTCTTTTCTGTGAGCTGTTGCACTGAGTTTACCAGTTGTTTATCACTTTCTTATCAGGAATTCGGGAGTTAATGACAAGAAATACCTGTTGGTGTTAACCTCCTCCCCCTCACCTACTTTTTTAAGGATTGCCTTTTTCTACAGGCCACTTGATAGATCTGGATAAGAATTAATCCGGTATGTCTGGTGGCCAGATCTCTACTGCTGCTTATAGCGGCAGGGGTAAGCTGGTATGTGGGTTTCACGGAAGAGGAGGAAAGTAAAGGAAAGAAATAAAAACTGAGATAGAAAAAGAAAACTGAAAGCTGCGATTTCTTCAGACACTGTACACGTCCCGAGGCTTGACCGTATTTCCAGCACGGCATTTTCCCCGCTGTGCGCGCCAAGCTATTGAAACAGCTTCTCGAAGTGTAGTTTTTTTATCAGCTACATGTTTAATTGATTAACAATAGGCTGCCCTGCACACCCGCAATTTTTCAGCTGCTGCCATCTCCCCTCCTGCCAGTGGCCAACCGATTCCCTGGCGTGGTCTCCATCTGACCTGACTGACACTACTTGAGGTACTCTGCAAAGAACTCGGCTGTAAACCTCAAGCGACTTCATTTGGTTAAATATGGAACAAGTGCTTACTCATATAAATTGGAAAAATAAAACACAGTTTGATTAAGTTGATTTGAGGGGGGTTGGTTGTTTTGGGGTATTTATTTTTTGGGCGCCTAAACAATTTTGTTGAGCCCATTAAGGGCTTCCCAGCCACAGCAGGTTGCAGATGAAGGGCTTGTGGGAAGTGCGGTGGCTTCCACACCTGCAGCCTCGTCCCTACCTGCTGGAAGGACCTGATCCTGCTCCGCACGGACAGCAGCGGCGTTGGGGGGCGCAGGTGCGGACCAGGGTGCTCGGAGCGGCCTAGCACTCCTCGGCGCCCCGGCGGCGGTGGTGGGATGGGCAGGGCCCAACGCCGTGCCCCGGGGCTGTCGGAGTACTGGGGGACGGGAGCCCTGGGCTCCACCGCGGGGGTGGGGTCATGGACACAGGGGACCGTCGGCACCGTGCCTCGTCCCGGGAGGCAAAGGACAGAGCTTCAGTGCGGTCAGCTCGCCGCCAGTTTTTGAAGGGTTTCTCTCGACTAATCATTAAATAAATGCAAGTGCACATATATGTGTGTATTTATGCTTGCACTGAGAAGAGCGGTGCCTTCGTCTCGCCCTCCCGCGCCCGGGCCGGAGCAGCGCTGCCAATGGCTCGAAGCTGATAGTGTCCAGGGCTGAAGGGAGGGGGCAGAAGAAATTAATTTCATCGAGACCGTATTCTAGGAGATTTATCTGATCTGCAAAAAGGGGGAAAGGGGAGGGGGGGAGAAGACAGCTAGCCCCCTTGAAGGAGTCACTCAGGCCTCTTCTCCACGCTCCAGCCCAGGAAGAATAGAAATGAAAGAAAGATGAGGGGATTTTTTTTTCCCCCTTCATGGGCAAACGCGTTCCATGACCAGATCTTGACTGTTTGTGGCAACTTATAAAACTGTAAAGCTCTCGCTGCCAGGAACAGAGCGATCCTGAATCTGCTGATTTGAGGAGTTGCTCTTCTCCCTACCATATAGGGCAGTACTTTTACCAAGTGCTCGCTCTCCCCTTGCGCACTTCTCAGTTCCCCCGCGCCTGGCCCTCCGCGCATACACGCATGCAAATGCACACATCTAACACGCGTGTGCGTGCGTACAGCGCTTCGCCGAGTGCGTGAGGGGATGCAGAAATCTACCATGCACATTCCTTTCTGCTCTCCGTGTGGATACAGAACGAGGGAGAAAGGGGGTGTACTGGAGGGTGTGCGAAAGACTATTCATGGCTCCGTGAGTCCGGAGAGGAGCTGATGAGCAGTATCATCGCTTGGCTTCAGCAGCATGCTCGCAGTCGGAGAGGCTGGCTTGCATTACAAAGCCTGCTTTCGTTGCCTGCCCGCCTTCGTTGCCCGCCTGCCTGCCGTCCGCGGGAGGAGACGGAGTCGGGGCCGGAGCGGGAGGGGGCGGGCCCGCCGCGCTATGCAGATGAGCGGCGGTGACGGACAGCTCTGTTTTCCAATGTCCCTCAGAAACTCGAGTGCTGCTTCCCTCAACTCTTCACTCCAGACTCTATACTTCCCCCAAAATACAGACTTGCAGGCGCTCTGGGATCTGGCTGGCTAACTGGGAGAACTCCATATGCAGCAGCCACTTTTTTGATTTCGGGGGTTCGCTTCTCTCTCTCCCTCTCTCTCGCTCCCCCTCTCCCCTTCTGTTTCTTTCCCTTTCTCACTCTCTTTCTATTAATCCTCTCCTCTTCCATCTTTCCCAGATGCCCTTCCCCTCCCGAATAGCTTTCTGACCTCTTATTAATTTGCCCTTTGGGGGGGGGAGGGTGTCTTTTTTTTCCCCCCCCTCCTGTTTGTTTTTATTCTGATCTGGTGCGAGTGGGGGGGAGCATAAAACAACTCTGATTCTCTACATAACTGCACAGAGCCAACCGAGGAGAGACAGAGAGAGAGAGAGAGAGAGAGGGAGAGTTGGGAGGGAGGAGGGAAAAAGAGGGAGGGGAGGGAGGGAGTCGGGAAGGGGGGCGGGAGGAGGGAGAGCACGCCAAGCAGCGCAGGGAGCAGCGCAGCAGCAGGTGCCGGTCACCCTCGTCCTCCCTGGCTCCGTGCAAGAGTCCAGTGCAAAGCCATGTCTATCCTCATGGTTACCATTACCAGCCCCGGGGCTCGCTGGCTCTGTCTCTGCGCGGCGTAACGGGAGCGTCGGCGAGCTGCGCCCAGGAGGAGTGAGCTGGCCAGGTCTTTCGTCGGGAATCTGCGGTCTCAGCCCTTACCCGGCTCTGCAGCTTTTCACGCTTCAGGCGGCGGCAAGGCTTCAATCAGCCCGCTCCGTTATCCACAGACCCCGCAACGGGTTCCCTCCTGACATGGTAACTTACCGAAGAGAATCCTCTCTTCTTATATAGCATCCGCCCATTCTCATCTCATCATCTTCAAGCCTTTCTCTGCACAACTCAGCCAATCAGATCCCGACACACGCCGCACAACCGGGCGCGCCGCAGTGCTCCTCCTCCGCGCAATCGCGCTGTACAGCCTGTGCAACCCGGCCTGGGGCCCGAGCGGGAGCAGCAAGGAGGCGAGCGGAGGAGCGGCGGGCGGGCAGGGGCCGGGGCGCCGCTTCGCGACCCAGCCAAGCGCGGTGCCGGCGGGCCTGGGTCCCGGGCTCTCCGCGCGGTTTGAGAAGCCGGGAGGGCGCCTTGATTAAGGAAATACGGATCGTCTCACTCAGTTGGGTTGGAGACTTTCATTCTCCCCCCTGGTTTCCATGTGTATGTCTACCGTCCTCCACTCTCTCTTCTCTTTTTTATTTTATTTTTAATATATATATATTCTTTTCACTGTGATAGCATAGGAGATGGCTTCTTTTTCTCTTTCTTCCTTTTTTTTCCTCTCTTTTTTCTCTTTCTTTTTAAGTCGGTGTTTAGAGGCGCTGGGGGCTTTATCCCCGTGTGGTTTTATTTACTTTCAGTGTGTTTTGTGCTAATGGTTTAACTGGATTTTGGGAATGAAAAGGAGCATCTGTTTGCGATCTGTGAGCTTCGCTTAAGCCCAAGATGGTTGTAGTGGCCGCAGTTTCGGATTTCACTTTCTTATTATTAGTTTAAGGAGCATTTGCAATTGCGTGTTGTGTGTACTCTGTGCATAAAGTATATAAATAAAACCATAAACAATATAAATAAACTGCACGTCTAGATGGTTATATAGTTTTATAAACACACACGCACACAGAGAGTCAGACACGTATCTAGTCAGTACACACAAAGACTTGTGCCCGGAATTTGAGACAAGAGCCGCTGCCTATATCCTGGGAGAGGATGGTAGCGGGGTAGTTTGCTTTCCCTGCAAAGTGACAGGGAAACTACTTGCTTTCCATCTGTAAAATACAGTCCATAAATTGTCGTGCAGTCTTTATTCGAGGTGATATAAAAGATCTGAGGGTCTCACTTGCTTGTTTTTCCTGCTGAGAAGCAGTAGGCGAGTGGTTGGAAGTTGCAGCGAGGTTATGAACTATGCGGGATACTGGGTGATGTTGAGTTTGTGACTCGCCGGTCTGCGGGGTTCAGAGACATGCTGAAAGTTAGCGAGTTTCTTAGAGATATCTTTAACTTTTCTTGCATTATGCAGACTTAAATAAGCGCAATTTAAACGTTAAAGAGCGAATTAAAATGCTAATTACATCGCATTTGAACAATTCGAAACGGTGCATATCTTCTGATTTGCAAATTGGATTTGCAATGCATTAGTGCAGTGAATTGCTAAGTGGCGGCTTTGTTGTATTTTCTATAGCTAAAAAGGAAACATCTTTTGAACCTTTGAGAGAAATGTAGATATCAAGACACTACCTGTAGGGCCTTTAAAATGTCTACGCGGTTCGAAAATTATATTGGGAAATGTTCAATTACGAGGAGTTGAAATTAGTCAGAAAGATTAAAACATCGCCGATTTTAAGCGCATGTGTCTGTGTGCTGGGCGGAGGAGGGGGGGGGGGTCGTAACTTAATGGCCTTTGGGTGCTGCTTCTCCCCCTCATAGAATATGGATACAAGACACCATCCCGGGGAAATACAAATATAACCGCCGATCTCGCCTTGACAACTCACTAATGGCTATCAGCAATAACAAATTGCCAACCCCACCGTTTTGTTCTGTCTAGGGCTCCCCTTACGACGCCCATACGACGGGGATGACCGGAGCCATCAGCTACCACCCGTACGGCAGCCCTGCCTACCCCTACCAGCTCAACGACCCTGCGTACAGGAAAAACGCCACCCGCGACGCCACGGCCACGCTGAAAGCCTGGCTGCAGGAACACCGCAAGAACCCCTACCCCACCAAGGGTGAAAAGATCATGCTGGCCATCATCACCAAGATGACCCTCACTCAGGTCTCCACCTGGTTCGCCAACGCACGCCGGCGGCTCAAGAAGGAAAACAAGATGACCTGGGCCCCGCGGAACAAGAGCGAGGATGAGGACGACGATGAAGGTGATGGGCCGAGGAATAAGGAGGAGAGTCCCGAGAAGATGCCCGAGAGCAACGAAACCTCCGCGGAGGACGAAGGTAGGCGCGGGGTGACCGCGGCCCCGGCGGTGTTGCCCCATCCCGCCCCGTCGAGTTCCCCCAGGAGCAGGGCAGCGGTAGGGGAGGGGGCACGGCGTTTAACAAAAGAGCCCCCCCAGACCTTTCCCGTCCCGTCTCCCCCGGCTTCTTCGGGAGCTTGTCGCCGCGCAGTGCCGGTGGCCGAGGCGGGGCGGGGGGCGGCGGGCGGAGGTGCCGCGGCGACGGCGGCATCTTGGGGGGCAGGGGGAGGTACTGAGGATGCCGCGGCCGACCCAGCCCGCGGGGATGGATGATCCTCGGAATGGGAAAGGCCGAGATGGCTAGAGTCTGCCTGCCTCACCGGTGGTGCGGTGGTGGCCTGGCTCGCCCCTCTCCTGCTCTGTTTTTGCCACCTCTCCTGACTGCCTCTCTTGCGGGCGGCCCCCGCAGGGATCAGCTGCAAGTCGACTCCCTGAGACACTCCTGCTCGCGGATTCCGACGCGAGAAGCTGCATGGCAGCGGAGACCCCTCTGCGAGTCGGGCTCGAGTGCAGGACAAGTACAGAGGCTCGAGGAAGAAGGAAGAGGATGAAGGATGAGGAGACTGAAGGAGGACATCGAGAGGATGACGGCGGCGGAGGGAGAGCGGACCCACGGCAAGGCCCGCCACCTCCTCGCCGCTGGCGGCGTGGAGGCCCCCTCCTCGGTCCACCCACGCCGACGCGCCCGCAGCGCCAGCAAAGGCGCTGGGCCCCGCGCCTCCCGCGGCCCCCCGACGCCGGCCAGCAAGCCCAAGCTCTGGTCGCTGGCCGAAATCGCCACCTCGGACCTCAAGAGTCAGACCCTGGGCCAAGGCTGCCAGCCTGGCCCGCTCTCCTCGGCCACCCCCGCCTCCGTCCCGCACAGCGCTGCCTACTCCCCCTCCTCCCTCCTGGGGAGGCATATTTATTACACCTCACCTTTTTATAGCAATTATACAAACTATGGGAACTTTAATGCTCTCCAGAGCCAGGGAATCCTGAGATACAACTCCGCGGCAGTGGCTTCAAACGAGGGACTAAGTCAGACTGTCCTAAACGCCAGCTCTGTCCACAAACAGAGCAGTGACTCTTTGAAAACGATCACTAACCAGCTAGAGCAACATTACAGGCCCTCTAGCTATGACTCTAAGAAAGGTAGGTGACTTGTTTCTGCCTCTTTCTTCCCCTTTCTCCCTCGTTCTCCTTCCCCGACCAGTACACGTCCCCTTATGCACTGTAAATACTGAAACCTTCTCTGAAGAAAACAGCGAGCGCACTGCCACCGCTGCCAGAGCGAAGACGGGCACTCATATAATCTGGGGATTAAAAACGGCATGTCGCCGTCGTATCAGTACCAGCCTCTAAGAACCGAGAGAGGAAATGTAAAAGGCGACTCTTAGATCAGTCTTACACGCTGCAGACACGGCTTTAAAAAGTCACTTTTTTTAAAAAAAAAATCCTTTTTAAAAGGAAAACTACACTCAAAGCTATCCAGAGAGCACTGGTGTCATTGCCTGTATTTTTTTTTTCCTGACAAACTGGTTTGGCTCTCTTTGTTTCCAGTATTCTCACGGGGTTTTTTCAGCTTTGAGTTCAGATAATTGCTGACCTTGGACGTGAAATTACGTGGACCGTGACATTTTTTAACTGTTTGCTTTTTTGTTTATTTTGTTTGTTTGTTTGTTTTTCTGAAAAAGTTTTACACTAATATAATTGTCAGCTTATTCTAACACAATACTCGAGATACAGGCAATTATGAAATACTGGCCAGCCTTTTAAACCACCTAGCTACAAATTCTGCACCAGTGAGGGTTGGGACCTACACAGACTGTATAATCTAGTTAGCTGGCTGTGTCCTGTGACTAACTGACGGTTATATTTTGACAGATCCCACTGAAGTCTGCACAGTAGGAGTACAACCATACCTATAGAAGTGCAATCACACAGCAATGCAAGTAAGTGAGAACATTTTCTATTACACTGATCATTTGGCATCAAGTCTGAGACATGCTGCACAGTTCTAGACTTGCTTAACGTTAATTTATTGCTTCATTACTTACGAGTCTGATTACAAAGTAAGACACTATTTTTCTGCTGTTTTTTAAAGCCTCTTATTACGACTTTTCTTTCTCAAGTTTGTCTTAATTTTCAAGTCAGGTTAGTCAGTTCCCTCACTTTGCATACTCTTCGCTTGTGTAAGACAAAGCCGTAGGGACTATTTAAACGTTATGGAAAGAAATCTTAAAAAAACCTCCAAAACACCTTTGAAAGTATTGTTATTTAAAAACAAAGTGCTCGTGCTCACGTGGCAGAGCTAAAACTGTACGTTCTGAGTGGGGCTTCATGCAGTGACTGCGTATTTAATATAAAAAGGAACAATTGTTAGAGACCAACATGCATCCTAAGCAAGGTATGTTATCTGTGACTAGCCTCTTGCCTATCTAGCAAAGGCGCTCTGAATACTTTCACTATTTAGAGCTAAAAAAACAACAACAAAATCACCTTGCTGATATTTTTCAATTACCTCTTTTTATTAGAAGAAATTAGATGAATAAAATTTTCGCCTTGCTTCCTTGCCCCCCCCCCCCAGCCGTTTAATGGTGTTAGAGTGTAATTCAAGGATTTTTGGATGATCTGGTTTTTTCCTTGGTCCACAGGTAGGTGTCACAATTGCTTTGAAAAAAGTCAGCAAGCCATCATCTCTCCCCGAGCTAATATATATAACAAATCTCTAAATCCGGATCACATCTGGTGCCACTGTATAAAAGAAGACCACAGAGCACTATTAAATCTTCAGAATCTAATTATTGAACCAGAATTTTGTTGGACATATGTAAGTTTGCTGGTATAGTATAGTTTCCCCAATGTATGTGTGACTTTTGAAAACAGATCTGTTTTTCTCAGGATATCTTGAATTGATCACTTCATTGCCACGGTATCTATTCGATAGGTGTGCTAGGATTTATTGTAAAATTATTTGTAAAAGATGTATACAGTAGAGATAATAAAGATGTGATTGGAGAACTTGAGTCCTTACAAAGTGGAAACAAATTTGATATTTATTTTTGTAATGATATAAAGCTTCTAGTAATTTATGCAAGTTGTATTGCAATGGAATCTGAACTTTTTGTAAATAAATTTTGCCCCGTTTTTATTTGAAACATTGATGGTTATACAATCTTTGGTTGTTTAACAAGAATTCTTTACTAATTTATATCTCTAATTGTAAATAAAACCAGACTAGTCTGCAACAACATTGTGTTTTTCGTTCATTTCCCTTAAAATATTAATTTATTATTTAGAAAATGAGGAAAGCTCTAATTTCACCAGTAGAACATAGACCATAAAATGAGTAAGCAATTTAAACACGTTGCAAAGATATGCTTTGCATAAATTAATTCCTTCTGAGTTGTTCCATTATACTTAAACTTTAAATTCACATATAGGTGCAAATAGGCATTTGTATATATACATGAATACGTGTAAAGAGGGTGATGTGAATATATGCATGTTTCCTATAAACTATTTATATAGGATGTGAAGTGGCTCTTTATTTGAGTTAGCATTCTTTAAATCCACAATTTGTTAAAAAAAATTAATCAACTGTGACTTATTTCTAATTTCTTTGTTTCTGCTTATGGCTAAAGTATACAAGGGGAAAGGGAAAAAAAATTTGAAAGTCCAGTACCTGGGGTTTTTTTATTATTTCCTCCCTTTATATCAGTAAGCCATATCTTTACAATCACATTAGAAATCCACTTTGATTGGGCTCATAAAATCAGCAAACTCATAATTTTAATTTTTAGTTAAAAAATGGGAATTCTTATATAATATAATTTCAGAAAGAAACGAACAATCATTTATTTTCCCCAAAAGATAAATTGAGTGAATATAACTTACGGTTATAAAACAAGAATAATAGCTTCTTAGATTGCCCTTTAATCAATCATACACTTATTTTTCAAGAGGCTCATCTATTTTATTCCATGATTAATAATGTTCCAGCGTGAGAGCATTATTAGATCCCAGCAGGGGAGATCCTGAATGCTTTTAGCTGCTTTGGAATGGTCAGTTGGGGTTCATTATGGTTTGATATTGAACAATTTATAAAATCTTGTCTAAACATCTGCCAGCTCAGATAGGCCGATGTGTCTGAAGATGGGAAATTGCTGGACCAGTTGATATTGACAAACGGATCTCTCTCCAGTGGCTTTTTGTTCAGTGAAAATTAGTGGCCTCTTGCTCAGGTCTTGTTAGAAAGGGCATTTGAAAGTGATCCTAGATACTTCAGGCATCAGCCTTGGGAATGTTAACTGGATAAAGAGCTGTACTAGTCTGGAGTCCAGAAATATGTTGTGATTATAATAAATAGGGGGAAAGGAAGTTGTTTTTCTTAAATCATTATACACAGTTCTCATGATTCCTCTTCCCCTGCACACACAACCCCCCTTTGTAACTTACCCCCATAAAGACATTTAACTGACTGAAAAAATGTGTGTGTTTTTCAGCTGAAAAGGCAGAAATTAATAATATTATTCTAGAAAACTCTGGGATCCATACAGTTAAATATAAGCCACTGAAGACCTTCGTGGCTGCAGGCCTACTCATCCTCATATCTTGTTTGTAGAATGATGCTTCTTTGCTTCTGTAGCATCTTTTTTTTCATTGAGGTACAATGCAATTGTGTCTGCATGTAGTGTATAGTACAATTAGACAAATGGCTGAGAAGTAATTCAGTTTTTTCCTTTCCAATTTAGCAGATGATGTAAATGCAAATATTTACTGTAACCATCCTTGACCGTCTTTACTGTGCACTTCAGGAAGATTTTACGAAGGGAATTTTTGTGTCAGGGGAGACACCTGAACTTTCTTTCCCCTACTCTTGCTCCTACTCCTTCTGCCCCCATCACACACATTTAATGTTTCAGGTCTCTGTTGGACACAGTGTACATTTCAATTGGTAAAAACCAAAAGCTGTGGCAGAGATTAAAAAAGGCTAACGACATTCCTTTGATGTTTATACGCCCAAAGACTTATAAAAGATTTCCATAATTTACCCACCCTTCCTAGTATTTAGACCTGGATTTCTTTCTGGAAAGAAAAGTAGAAAGACTTGGAAAACTGGCTTTCAAGTATTCACTATGTATGTAAAACCCAGTGGACTTTTCTCATCCTCTGAGAAATTCACAAACGGTTCATGGATGCAGATGTGCACCACTGAAATGATTTGGCATAAAAACTTATTATTTTAAGCAAGAAATTAATGGGCAAGAACTGCATATTCAACGTCATTTGAGATTTAGTAATCAAAATTGAAAGCAGGAGGAAAGTGTAGCCTTTCTAGATTGTTGGCACAAACAATGTGATGATTTCAGTGTAGCAAGAAAGAGGGACGAACGATAAAATACATCACTTTGTGTATGGTTTATTTCATAACGATGTTAATCAGCCTGCTGTGATTAAAATCTCACACATCTTTCTATATTTACTCCTTCTTCCCCCCACTCCCTCCCCTCGTTTCTGTGCTCGTTTCGAGCGTAAAAGGCAAATCCTTCCCTCTTCGGGGCCAGAGGTTTCATTAGAGCTGATTTATTGAAATTCAGGCTTTAATCTCAGGTGGGATCCCGGGGGAATTGGCGCTGTCGTCAAATAGGAAGAGGGTCGCTTTCCACTTTGCACTTCCTGGGCTGCTTTTTTCCTCGCTCCCTGCAAATGTCAACATTTGTTCTCAATAAGAGAGTTATTGTTTCAGGAAAGCTGCTCACCAACTGCCTTAGGAGCAGAAAAAAAGCGTCGCCCACCTTTGTTTGGCTGGAGGCTGGGGGAAGGGTTGGGGACGGAGGTGACGAGCAGCTCAGGCCAGCAGCGGACAGACAGATAGACAGATAGACATCGGAAGCGCTGCTGACCACCAGTCCGCGGCTGGAGGGGAACTGGCCCGATTAAGGGGAAAGTTTATATACAGCACAATGGGCATCTGCGTTTCTCTCCCCGCTCTATTGGCATATTTGCCCCCGACGTGCTTAGCCCCTATAAGAGAGAGGAGCTGCAAGGGAGGGGGGGGGGAAGTAACAAACCCATCAACACAATAAAAAAAAGGACTGCCTTCACGAATTTCCACCCGCAGAGGTTGTCTTCAGGTTTTGGGGAATTGGGGGAAGGGTGATTTTTCAGGTGGAGAAAGCAATTGTAGGGTGCACCGTCCGATTCAGCCCTACCTGATGACACCCACCTCCCTAACGGGCGGGGAAGTAACAAACCCATCAACACAATAAAAAAAAGGACTGCCTTCACGAATTTCCACCCGCAGAGGTTGTCTTCAGGTTTTGGGGAATTGGGGGAAGGGTGATTTTTCAGGTGGAGAAAGCAATTGTAGGGTGCACCGTCCGATTCAGCCCTACCTGATGACACCCACCTCCCTAACGGGCCGTCAATTAACTCCCGACACGGGGTGGGCGGCAGCCCTGAGGCAAGGAGAGGGAGTGGCTGGGGGCCGGGCAACCCGGAGCGGAGCGAAGCAGCCTGGCCCGCTCCACTCCGCTTCGTGGTGGCCCCTCCGTGTCCATCCTCACGGGAAAAAAGCTCAACCCTGTCACCACTGAAAGTTCCTGGCTCTGTCACATGTTCTCGCGGTTCAGACTCAGAGTGCCTCTGAGGCACCGTGGTACGGATGTAATCGATACCGGGAGGGTTTTATTGCTTATTACCTTTTGAAACAAACAAACAACCCCCCCGCTAAGCCCTCCCCCCCAAAAAAACCCAGGTGGAATTTATATATAGGTCGATTCGTTGCCTTCTGCATTCAGATATATCTCGCGTGCTTAGGCAAGCTCCTCACTATTCAGGTGGTCGAAAGGAGCCTTTCCGTTGTAGGAACTGAATAATGATCGTAAAAAATACTTTTGTTAACAGTAATACTTCACATTAAGTAATGTGATGTTCATCCCTTTGTTTTTAATCCAGTAACTAATAACTTAGGCTTCCAGCTCCTAAAGAAATAAAAGCGGGGGGGGTGGGGGTGGGAAGTTAAAAACAAAGGGATCCACGGTGCGTAGTCAAAGCACCCATGCATCTAATCCCTGACTATTCTCGGCGTCTCTGAAGCGTAGTCTTTATTGAAAGTACAGAGGGAAAGCGCAATTGGCGGGACACATGCTCACACACAGGTAGCTTGGAGCCGCAAGCAGGGACCTCGTGGTAGGGGGATTCTGGGAGAGCGTTTTACTTTCTGAGAGAGCGTTTACGTCCTGCCAGAGGTGACAGCCGAGCTCCCGCAGCCTGGACCCGTGCCCCCACTCCCCAGCCATGACTCACGGAATAATGTCACCGTTTCGCATCCAATGCTGACCGAGCCAGCTGCATTTTCCTTGAGCAAAACTATGGGACGGAGGCCGCGGCCACTCTGCCTCGGAGGTGGCCACCGTTAACTTGGATCCTTTCGAGATTTAGAGACTGAAATGAAAGGGCGCGGGGTGCCACCTCGGCCCAGCCGACCTCAGAAAGGCAGGAGCGTAGGCCGGTAGAGAAAGTCATTTCTGCTCCACTCGGGCTTGTATCATCCGTGATGGGGGATTTGAAAATACTCCCGAATATTTGTGCGGGGAAAAAAAAAGAAATAGTACAATTGCTCCTCTCACGGCGGCTGTGTGGATACTGTGCTGCTCGGGGTCTTAAAGAATGCCCAGAACAAAATAAAAATAAGTATGTGCATTTTTATAGGGAGATAAATTGTCAATTTATTGTGTATAACTTCTGATCAATTATTAATCGTTAGTGTCAACAACAGGGTTATAATTACCTTCAGTTATTTAAAGGGATATTTATTTTTTCTTCTCTCTGATCTGGTAATTAGTTAATGCTCTGGAGTAATGAATTCAAAGCTGATTTGATAATGATTGAGACAGGGTTTTTTCCCCTCTCTTTTGGCATCCCCCCTCGCGGGGGGGGGGGGGGTAGGAGGAGGGAGGTGTCTCCTCCTGTTTGCAAAAGAGTCCATGTAAAGGCAAATCACTGCGCGTTTCACTTTTCAGACCATAAATAACGATTCTGGGAGTAAAAAGGCGAAATGACAAACAAATAGAGCGCAGCTGGGATGAATAAGGCCGATCAAAGTTAGTGGGGGCCGACGCTTCCCGCAGCCGCCGCAGGTCTGAGACCCATAAAGGTGCCAGCAACTCTTACCTCTCTCCCCGAGATCAAGGGAGAGGGCAAGCAGGACATTTTAACCCCCT